GGGTGAATACATCTCATTACACTGATTTACTGGTAGTCTCGAAACCCTACTTTCATACGAATATAAGTAATTTTAGACTATAAATAACTCTTGACTAAACGGTAAGCCACCCGATGTCGTATAAGATGATTTAAGGAATTATATTTAATTTTTATCACAAAGTATAACTAAGGGTTATAATCATATCGATAACTACTGATACCGAAAATAAGTAATGTATTAGATTGCTATAGAAAATACGACTGTAATGCATCAAAAAATACCAACACAGAATGTGGAATGGAGAAATGCCTGGCCTTCCTCAAAATTCACATTTGCTCTTTGGGTCAAGGACATTCTTGACATTTTGGCGTAGTCGTTAACGTGTCGAGAGAATACGCTGCACTATCACGATTCGAGTATCGGTACGGAGGAAGGGTCGACTCCTGCCTGGAGGAGACTGGCTCTTGAGAGAGCAAAGCTATGTGAAATTCAAGGAAAGCGTAAGATCTACTCCTATGATTGTGGGAAAATCCAAGGAACAACTACCTTATCACCTTAAAATAGGGTCAATACATCTCATATATATACATATATGTATATATAAAACCTGCTTATAAAACGAACAATTCAATCAAGTGACTGTTTTTCACACGGTGAATCTTCCCAACCGTCCTAAGCACAACCGTACACCTTTCTCAACTATGTAAATTCTTTAATGTATTGTCCTAAATGCTCAGATCCTTTCTCATCTTCTCTCTTCCGTATCTGTCCTCATTTACCTATACAAATGTGTGTATGTGTGTATGTATGCTCGCATGCTTGTTTGTTGGTGTCCCCGATTGGGCAATTGTGTTTGTGCAAATAACTAAACAATAAAACATAAAAAAACGTCGCAGCCGACCTACATGGCGCCTACGAAGCCAGACTATCTGGTCGACTCTTCTTCCGGGGCCCGCCCACTTGTGAACCGGTGGGTAGCTAGGCCCTGCGAGCTCAAGGTTCACGACCCCAGGCCGACGGTGTCAGGGCCCAATTGCAGGTGGACCAAGGGCCCCGAGGAGAGGTCGTCTCTTCGCCACAAATCGGAGGGACCGGCATACGAGGTCTCCGATCCCAGCCCGTCGTCAAAGGTTTCCCAGTCCGCCTGGTCCCCCTCCTTCGGTGGGGCGCCCATCGCGAGGCAACTGTCGACGACGTCCAATTGGTCCCTCTACGAGGCGGGCATAAGAGACGCAACTCGAAGCCCAGGTCCGACGAGGTTGGTCGCCGGGACACGAGGCATCACCACCTCGGGCTCGAGACTGGACAAGTCGGATCTTGCGAGCGAAGAAGTGTCGCCGTGGCGGCGTCACCAACGGCGATTTGGCGTCGACAACTCAATTTGGCTGGAGGCCGGCAAACCGATCACTTTGGCCGAGTACACTCGAATCACGGCGCCCGGCCAACCCTTGAGCCCCTTAGCCGGGGCGGGTCCGAGGCCCGCACCGATGATGGGCCTATCCGGCTCCACGTCTGTCGCCAGTCTTCTGCTCGTGACAGAACCACCGCCCTCCGAGTTTCAGGACCCCGGCAGCCTCAGTTGCCCCGCAAACGCCGTCGACTTGGGTGTCCGAGAACGGCGAGGCGAGAAGAATGACCACTTTCTGGTGACCCAAGTCGA